GGACCCAGCAGTACTGTCTATAACTAAATGACTGCCGGTGAAAAAGCCATATCATGGATTATCAAGATTATTTCTGAAACAGTCTGGAGCCTCAAAGGCTTTCTGTCTTGCCGTATACCACAAGGTGAGGTCCTTTTTGATTCCTGCTTCTCACACACATGCTCTCCGTACAGGTTAGCTCCCTGGCCCCCGCTTGAGTCGGTGTGATGCCTTAATGTAAAACATGCACCGACCATATTACATCAAAACAGTCGGGCATCGTTTCTGATAGCAACGTTTCTGATTGGGCCGTGGGTCCACATTTCAGATATTACGTCATATCGGACGCAAATCTGGATCAGCTCCGTTGTTCCCCCGCTTTTAGAGATTTGGATGCGGAGGAAAAGAGAGAGGGTTTTATTTTCTGATGCTGCGTGAGTTCCCCGACACACCGGGGACATATTTATGTATAAAAGACATCAAAAAGTGCATTTTGCATTATAGGTCCCCTTTAAAGTACCACTGCCTTTCATTCTAGTGCAGACGTGACTAGAACAAATCTGAAATTCAAAAGTTAGTAGACAGCCTTGAAGTAAAAGCAAACGCAACACATTTTCTTTATTGTCGCTGCTACGTTTAGTCTTGGATTGGGTAAAGAGGAAAAATGTTTACTGGTGGGCAGAGTTGCACAGGGGGCTTATTATGGGAAATGTGTACTGAAGGAGGACAATCCAACTAATGCCTCTAGACAAAACACTTTGCTTTCCTCAAGTCTTGAGCTGCCAAAACAGTCAATTTATATCCCAGTCCAGCTCTAATTGATCCATCTCTCCCACTCTGGTGTTCTGGAACCGATTCAGAAAAAAACCGACTATGCTACTACAGTAGTTAGAGGGAACAAAGTAGCTTGATAAGAGCAGCAGATTTATATTTTGGGGCCTACCCTTTACCACAGACTCAATAAGGGTTAAACTTCATCTTGCACTTCCAACATTCAGCTTAAATGACATACATTACATGTTACATACAAACATCCTCACATCATTCAGGGCCCGTCTTTAGTTCTGCCCAGCTGTGGCTCGTATGAATCCGATGTTGTCTTTGAAAAGACAGTCCCCTGGCACAGAGGGGGGATAATGATTCATGGAGTATTTTTCAGTGGGCAGAAAAACAACAACAAACTCGGGGGAGTCATCTGATGGATGGAGAAAGCCCCACTGTAATTAGTTTCATAGTTGGCAAAAGCACAAAGTCCTCTTGTTACGGAAAGCAAATGAAAAAAGGCGGCGATCAATACCTTGTGTCGGAATCTCACGACTGGTCGATAGAGCGGCGACCTGAATTCCTCCTTGTTGGGTCTCCCGTCTGCGCCGAGCACAGCGAGCCCCAACAATAAAATTGCCGCCGACCACCATCCTGCTGTCTTCATTGGGCTTTTCCTGTCAACAAAACAAACGGGAAAGGTGAGTGCTCTTCTCCGAAACCCTGGAGGTTCAACACCTGTTGGCACAGATAACGAATCAAGTCGGCCGTAATTAGTGCAGACAATGGGAAACACAAAACTGTCGCTGGTTTAAACTAAAGCTATCAATATGTGCCCCACTCTCGGCGGGAAGATTAGGATCTACTTTTGAATCAATTAACGGGAAGTAGATGTCATGAAATAAAATCAAGATAACGAAGATAAAGAGCCAATATATTAACGCAATTAGAGTGAGGGCTTTGGATTAATTAGTCTGAGTGTCTAAGTCATCAACTGTGATGTAGCGGTGAGATTACATCTTAAACTGTTTCCTCACAACCATAACGGTTTATATTCTTGTTTTGCATTCTATTTATGAATTTGTGTTTGTATGAATTTGTGTACGTACATATGTACATATATATATATATATATATATTAGGGATGCCAGTGATTATTCGAATATTCGTTACAGTCTCCATAATCGAATATTATTTTTAAAAATCGATTTTATTTATATATTTTTTTATTATTATTTATGGGGGGTTTTTTTTTCTGGCTTAGTTTCAACCAAAATATAGACTAATGCTAATAATAGTAATAGTATTAATAATTGTAAATGGCCATTGGTCACACCACCAGTTTGTTTTACTGTAAACTTGGAGGAAGCCTGCGTGCAGAGCAGACTGCTGCTGCAGCACGCAGCACGCTACACACCGACCCCGCCCCCACCCCCCCTCTCCCTCACACGTGCGA